CTTCCTTCTTCTTCTTCCTTCTTCTTCTTCTTCTTCTTCTTTTTCTTCTTCTTCCTTCTTCTTCCTCCTCCTCCTTCTTCTTCCTTCTTCTTCTTCCTTCTTCTTCTTCTTTTTCTTCTTCTTCTTCTTTTTCTTCTTCCTTCTTCTTCTTCCTCCTCCTCCTCCTTCTTCTTCCTTCTTCTTCTTCCTTCTTCTTCTTCTCTTTCTTCTTCTTCTTCTTTTTCTTCTTCCTTCTTCTTCTTCCTCCTCCTCCTCCTTCTTCTTCCTTCTTCTTCTTCCTCCTCCTCCTTCTTCTTCTTCCTTCTTCTTCTTCTTCTTCTTCTTTTTCTTCTTCTTCCTTCTTCTTCCTCCTCCTCCTTCTTCTTCCTTCTTCTTCTTCCTTCTTCTTCTTCTTTTTCTTCTTCTTCTTCTTTTTCTTCTTCCTTCTTCTTCTTCCTCCTCCTCCTCCTTCTTCTTCCTTCTTCTTCTTCCTCCTCCTCCTTCTTCTTCTTCCTTCTTCTTCTTCTTCCTTCTTCTTCCTTCTTCTTCTTCTTCCTTCTTCTTCTTTTTCCTTCTTCTTCTTCTGGATGCCTAAGGAAACACGGGTAGAAACGAAAAGCGCAAAGAAAATATCAGAAAACCGGGCGAGGGCAGGGAGGGGGGCGGAGGGAGGGAGGGGGAGAGGCCGGCCCAGCGCCCTCCTGGCCCGCCTTTCCTGGCACCGAGAAACTCGCCTGAACTTTAAGCTCGGCGCTGCCACCCAGGGAAGCCCCGCCTGGTCGCTCAGCGGCACCGGGCAGCCCGGAGACTCGGGCGCCCTTGGCAGTTCAAAAGTTCAGGGGGGGGCCGAGAGCGCGCAGGGGCCGGAGCGGAGCCGTCGGGGGCGGCGGAGCACTCAGCGCTGTCTTGTCTCCTCTCCGCAGGTGAGAACGGGAGCGTCGGCGAGGCGAAGAAGCGCTGCGGGGAGACGGAGCAGCCGCAGCCGGGAGAGGCTGCCGAGGGCGGCGAGCGGTCCCCGGCGATGGAGCCGAGCGGGGCCCCCGAGGAAGGGCCGGAGGCGCCGCTTCCCCTGCAGGCGCCCTGCAGCTTCGGCTCCGCGCTCTGCTTCAGCTCGTCCGGCGGCGGCGGCGGCGGCGGCGATGGCGATGATGCCCAGGCGCCGCGTCCGGAGCTCGAGGCCGCCTCTCCTTCCTCCTCGTCGTCGGGCAGCGGCGTGGTGAAGCACCAGTGGGACCTGAACAGCGCGGCGGCCGAGTCGGAGGAAGAGGAGGAGGAGGAGGAGGAGGGCGGCAGCCGCGGCAAACCCTCGCCGGTCTCTGCGGGCAGCCCCGACTCCGACGCGCCCGGCGAGGCGGCCCCGCTCCGGCCTTTCCCCTCGCCGGCGGCGGCGGCGGCGTCTTCCGAGGAGCCGGACCTGGTGATCGAGGTGTGCGGGCGTCGCGTGCGGGCGCACAAGGCGGCGCTGGCGGCCAAGAGCGACTATTTCCGCGCGCGATCCTCGCGGGACGTGCTGCGCCTGAAGGGCGTGAGCCTGGCGGCGCTGCGGCTGCTGCTGGAGTACGTGTACACGGCGCGCATGGCCGAGGTGCGGCACGACAACCTGGCCGAGGTGGTGAGCGGGGCGCGCGTGCTGCAGATGCCCTGCGCCCTGCACTGCGCCGCCGAGGCCATGCGCGCCCAGCTCAGCCTGGCCAACTGCTACCAGCTGCTCTGCCTGGCCAAGAAGCAGCGCCTGGCCGAGCTGCGCGAAGCCGCCTTCCGCTTCATGAGCGACCACTACCTGCAGGTGCTGCGCGAGCCCGCCGTCTACGGCCGCCTGAGCGGGGCCGAGCGGGAGCTCATCCTGCGCCGACGCCTGGAGGCCGGCCGGGCCTGCCTGCTGGTGGCCGAGGTCAGCGNCCCCCCCCCCCGCCCCACCTCTGCTGCCCTGCCTTGAGGTTACCAACATTGCAGACCCAACAGGGACAGTTGAAGAGCCAGATGTGGCCCGTAGGTCATAAAATATTCAGGTCTGGTTGTGGATGTGGTTCTAAGTAATGGCCATCCTCTCCCTTTGTATTTAATTAAAGACCTGCAGATGACTTTATCAAGATGCCTTGCAAAGCCATTCTTCCCATTCTTCTTCTATGAGATGGTGCCCATCTGTTGCCCGAAGCCCTTTATGTCCACTAATCCAATTTTCATTAACAATAGAAATAATCTGAATTGCAAGCAAATAAATTGCAAAATTAATTACAGTGACAAATCATTTGGTTCTGTAACAGGTTATTTATATGTATGGACTAGACTTCTTTAATAGGATTGTTGCAAACTATAAAAATTTAAAAACACATCTAAGTTAGTCTCACTTAATGGATACTTCAAGTATACATCAGCTTTGGAAAGCGCTTGGAGCAGTTGGACACCATAAATCTACTTTTCTTTCCAGTCATATTTGAATAGAGAAGTATTGGTGAGAGGATGATAACAGGTTGACAGGTCTTCAGTATTATAATATTGCATAGCAAGTCACCATACATTTGAAAATCTGTGTATGATTTGATGCCAAATTTGATGGTTTAATTATGTTTGGCTTTTTGGAAAACAGTTACATCATTGTTTTTCTGCAAACTCAACCTCTGTTTAATGTTCAAAAATTACTGTGATTGGTTTTTGGAAATCTTTTATAAGCTGCTGTTAGCTCCCTTTCTCTCCACATTTTTAAAAGGAGTTAGGACCTCCTTTTTCTAAATCATTTGAACTGCACTGATTGTTTTTAGTTTAGTTAAAACTTGGATTTAACCATTTTTCAATTCAATTCAATAAATGGAATAAATGGAATTTTAAATTATTACTCTTGCTACTTAACTTTAAGCAGCTAATGGATGGAATGGTAGGGAATGAATTGAAATAATAAATACGATTACAAGACCATGCTAAAAAGGCCATCCACATATTGCTGATTTGGTTTCGCGTTGAAGCACACACTCATAGCATCCTTTCATTCACCAAACTATCACATAGAATTCGCTTCTGATTTTGTGCAAATACCTCTGGAAAGTAAATAATCAGGATCAATGCAGATCTGACCAATTTTTTAAGTTACTTGTTTAAATCACATATCACATACAAAGGATGCATTTGGCATTTCCTGAAGCAAATCCTTCCTTGTTTTTAAAATATAGATTTGCCACCAAAACTTAATAGAGCTTAGCCAAGCCTTTGTTGTCAAAGGGCATTGCCAGGTTTCAAGCGTGTAATAGAATTTGCCCCACAATCTAGAACAGTTAAAAGAGGTCTTAATTTTTTGTTTTACCAACAGTTGTGCTGTGTTGTTACCAGTAAACATGTTCCATTATTGCAGGAGAAATCTTCCTTTTGAGTAAAAATATCATATATTTTGTTTTCAGAAGCATTGTCTTGCAATGATGTTGGCAGGTTTCAGCATGGCAAATGCAATGCCAAATAACTAAAATTCTCTACTTTTTTTTGTTACACGATCTTGAGATTTCCAGGTGTATTTTTAAACTTTTGTTTTTCAAAACCCAAAATTTTATGGTATTTAGATCATTGATATGTTAAGTACTGTGGAGTAGAGGCCAAGATTCAACCTTCTCCCACACTCTTGTTCGTTTTAATATCTCCTGCAAAAGAGGATTATTATTTTTTAAAAAAAATCTTTTTGATGAACAGGTGTGTACCCAAAAGGGCAAGGTGTATTAATTTAGCTTCCTAGGATCCAAGTTTGGCAAACTACACCTATTTTTTCCTAAACTTCATAAGCATATAATATTCAGCAAAGCTAATTATATGTCCCTTTGCAGATTGCCTAGATATGCATTATCTCTAGAGATCATTGTTGTAACATTTCTGCAGGGCAGGGGTCTCCAACTTTGGCCACTTTTAAGACCTGTGGACTTCAATTCCCAGAATTCCCCAGCTGGCTGGCAGGCCGGCTGGGGGAATGCTGGAAGTTGAAGTCCACAAGTCTTCTTTAAAGTTGATAAATTCTGGGAGCCTTGTTCTAGGGGCAGAATTAAATTTACCAAGGCAGGACATTTCTGGTGCTTACTATGGAGATGTAATCCTGGGCCAGGAGTTGGAGTAAGGCCAAATGTTTGCTTAGCAAAAACAGACCCCTCCCCCTTTCCCTCCTCCTCCTCCTCCTTCTTCTTCTTCCTTCTTCTTCCTTCTTCTTCTTCTTCCTTCTTCTTCTTTTTCTTCTTCTTCCTTCTTCTTCTTCTTCCTCCTCCTCCTTCTTCTTCTTCCTTCTTCTTCTTCTTCTTCTTCTTTTTCTTCTTCTTCCTTCTTCTTCTT